GAGACGGGGCGTTCGCCACGTCTCCTCCTCGGGCAGGGCCAGGACGTAGCGCTGGGACATGGCGTCCGGCTCAGCCGCCCGGCCCGGCGCCAGGGCGCTGGTCTCGGGGAGCGCGCGAGCGCGGAGGGAGCACGTGCCGAGTCCGAGCATCGCTGGCGCTGCCGCGGTTCATCACTCTGCAGGGGCACAAGAGAGACATGGGGGCTCAGGGCCTCGCTCCGGCACCGTACGCCCCTACCCTTCTCCCTCGCTCCCACCCGCACCACCCCGAGTGCTGCTCCTCGCAGGTTTGCCATGCTAGAGCTCTCGGCCTAGGCTGGGACCTCCCATGTCACTGCTTTCCTCCCAGGTCCCTGCTCCGGGCACCCACTGGATCCACAGCTCTCTGCCCCCACCACAGCCTGGTGGGGGAGAGAGGCCGTGGGCACAGGGCGCCACAGAGCAGGGACGGGGCAGCACCACATGAAGGTCACCCACAGCCAGGCCGCGGGGTGATAAGGGAGAGATGGAGGAGCCGCCAGGAGCCTCCCCCAGCAGGGCTTCCCCTGGCGAGGCCAGCGAGGGCGGCCCCGGCTGGGTGGGCTCCCCCACAGCCTGAGGCGGCGGCGTGAGCGGCCACGCGAGCCAGCAGAGGGTGTGGGGCCCTGGCATGGTGCCAGCACCCATGGCAGCCGCAAACGGGGCTGACCAAGGCCTGGGGGTTGTGCAGCGACACACAGGGGTGCCCGAGGCCCCACACACAGCACTGGACACCACTGTGAACAAACCAAGGCGGGAGCTTCTCCTTCACAGGCTTCCCAGTCCCTCGTACCTGGCTGTGTCCCCACGTGCCATCTCGCACCAGGTGACAACATGGGGGCCATTGCCAGGAGCCGCACCATCCTGCAGCCCTCCCCGTGACCATCAGAGAGGCTGGCAGAGGCAGACAGCCGCCTCTCAGCTGCAGCAGACAATTCGGAGACAGTTTATGACAGTCATCCTCTCCCCAGCACAAAGCCAGCACACAGGGTGCCAGCGCAACCAAAATATCAGCGCCGTTTTGTTTTGGGAGCCATACAACAGAGAAAGAGGCACGGGCAGATTGCCAGAGACGCTGCTCCTCAGCTCATCGAAATAGCTCAGCGAGATGCTGCTGTCTGACGACGCATCCCAGTCTCATCGCAGGGAAACGCTGTGTTCCTGCTTGCGAGAGCAGAGAAATTCCACGTTCAGGCACTGCTGCCACAGGAGAGGCTTTGTTCCTGTAGGCTACAAGGAATGAGCCAACCCCGGGCATCACATGCGGGCTTGCCAAGACTCGAGAGGAAAAAGAGGGGCTAAGAAGAGGACAAGGCAACATGTTCTCACCATGGCTCGCGAGAGCGGCGACAGAGATGGACACCCAAGTACCCAGTAGAGAGGCTGGAGAAAAGAGCAGGGCAAATCACCCAGGTGCACCCCTCCCAACATACAAGAGGGTTCTGCTTCCTACAACGGATGCAGAAGAAATGAAACCGAGGAAGTGCTGCACGCTAGCACACGGCACACACCACGCTGCAGGGAAGGAGGACATTGTCACGGCAAAAGGGACCCCACCATGTCATCCCAACAGGGCTGGGCTCCCCAGGGATGCTGTGCCACAAATATGAAGTATCTAAACTTACCAGGCAGCCTCCCAGAATACAAGCTGCCTGACGCAAAGGAGCAGAGCCTCACCAAACCAGCTGTACATCAAGAAGTAGAGCTTGGTTGCTCCCAGTATGAGCTACAAACAGAGGGCCTGCACTGCATTATTTTTGCTGCATCATTTTTCTAAAGACTTTTTCAGTTCAGTTCTAGGTACTCCTGCAGTTTTTAAACTTTCCAGCTTTAGCTTTTCTTTTAGTATTGCTTTGCCCATTTGCTCCCTCCCCCTGCTCATGTTTGGGATCTTGTACAGCTGCTCTGGTTCATCCTAGAAGGTCTGCAGGCCTTCCAGAGCACAATTCACCAAGACCAAAGGAGGAGATGTCCTTATGGCCAGTCCAATGTCTCTGCACCTCCCATCAGGCTCAAGCAGCACATTGCAGAGCTGCACGGTGGATACTCCCAGGCTCCTGAGCAAAAGGATCAAGTAGAAACCATCAAATTGAGTCTTGGGGAAGTTTGAGGAATTAAATAGAAATAATTAGCTCTGCCTTCACATGGCAAGCAGGGCTCACGCTGCCAGGAGAACAAGCCATATTCCCTTCAAAGGAGTGACAAGCAGAGACAGGAGGATGCCAGAACATGTTGTTAAGGGAAGCTGACGAGGCCCCGCGCTAACGAGGGTGCACGCAGGATACCATGTGCCCAGGCGGCCGACACGAGGGCATCCACAGGAGGGGAGCCTGCTTCTAAGCCCTGCCTTCCCCCCTCGCACTGAGCACAGGCCCACGCCATTTTTACATAAAACCGAGTTACATGCACAAATGTTTTCTCCCCCCACTAACTCTGCTTCTTTTCCTTAAACACGAGCCCTTCCTCCCACAAAAATCAAACCTGTGTCCAGCCAACATGTGGCCAATTTTGAAAACGCAGAGCTATTTTATGGTCTGTTGGTGGAAATCTACAGCTTTATATCCACTAGAAACCAGCCAAAGGAGAGGAGGAAGGAAATTTTTCTTCCCTGCCACATATAGAAACAGCTGGCACAGCAGCCACAGTGGGATCTGGGATTGCACCATAGGCTTCTGCATCCTGCCCACTGCAAACCGGCACTGGCGCAGGGTTAACCCGATCTTGTTGCACAACTCCCTGTCAACAGGCAGGAGATGCTTTTGCAGTTTTGCAGTTCATACAACAGCGTTCCTCAGAGGGGTTTGCTGGTTTGGTTAAAATCAGACACGGTCACCTAGAAACCAGAGAGAGGGGTAGGGACAGGCTTTTGTCAGGGGTTAGAGGCAGCTGGTGTCTAACACAGCCGAGATGGCTGCCTTGTCGTCACTGAGGGACAGGGCTAACCCATCAAGACAGGCTCAGGAAAAAAAAAATAATGCCAGTTAATAATAAAAATGCAACAGAAAACTGCGTGGGTAGTGAAATTATTAGCACTGCTTGGGGGAACCATGTGTCAAGCTACCCTGTAATCAGCTCACTGCGAGATCTGCGGTGGGAGAGAAAAAAAAATCAGACACGGTCACCTAGAAACCAGAGAGAGGGGTAGGGACAGGCTTTTGTCAGGGGTTAGAGGCAGCTGGTGTCTAACACAGCCGAGATGGCTGCCTTGTCGTCACTGAGGGACAGGGCTAACCCATCAAGACAGGCTCAGGAAAAAAAAAATAATGCCAGTTAATAATAAAAATGCAACAGAAAACTGCGTGGGTAGTGAAATTATTAGCACTGCTTGGGGGAACCATGTGTCAAGCTACCCTGTAATCAGCTCACTGCGAGATCTGTGGTGGGAGAGAAAAAAAAAAAAATCACTGATTTCCTCAAGGACAAGCTGCCTAGATGCTCTTGTCCTCCAGACATGAGGCATCTGTGCAGATTGACAGCACACCAAGCCACGCAACCCAAACTCTCAATGCACTTCATGTGCAGAGGAAGCAGAAGCCCCTTTTCCCACCATGACGAAGCTATGCAGTGGCCAACAGGCAATTTTATTCCATTTTGGTGTGTATCCCCCCCACACTGATAGCAGAACCTGGACACACAACCTCCTAACTCGCAGGTTTTGCTGCAAAAGTGACAGGAGCCAGGAATTGTACTGCTTGTCCCCAAAACAGGGCAGGCGCATAGATAAAAATCACAGCCACAGGGTTCTGGGAGCAATAAAACCCAACTGCAAAAGGCCCTGTACTCAAGAACTTGTGCTCAACTTGCCAGGTGGGGTGCAATGCTCGCGGCCGGGCCTGGCCCTGCTGCACCACGCTCGAGGACACAACCCAAGGGGTATTTTGAGAACACAGAGCCCCCAGCTGAGACAATGCCCGGAGCTCACAACAGCCTTGGAGAGCCCTGTCTAATGGAGACCTCAGAGGCGGCTGCAGATCGTGCTCAGCTGCTCACCAAGGTGCCCATGCTGGGATTGACACAGTGTAAGAGGGGCAACAGAGCAAGCATCTAATATTCCCCCATCCCTGCCAGGTACAGCCTGGGCATCGATGTGGGCTGAAATCAGATGCAATTAGAGTTAGCTCCTGTTTGAAAACACACCCGCCAAGACCAAACATTGGTTATTTACAGTTGAAAGATTGACTAGAGGAAGTCCCTTGTCAGAGCAAAGACACTGGGAAGAAGTGGCTAAGAGACTAAATAAATTTTGCTCAACAAAAGCTCTGCCTTTCCATAACAAGGGTGTGCCAAGGCTCACCAGAAGGAATTCCCTGGAGATGGGCACACCAGGTGGCTTCTGGAGGGCAAAAGAGCACTCTGGAAAGCTCTCCACACCTCGGTGGCGGGGAACAAGTGACAGAAGACGATATCCTTGCCAGGCAACCATGCCCTGCCACATGATTTTGCTCACTTACTTGAGGTATCAACCCAAACCGCATGCCAAGGTGCAGTCTCGCCCCTGCAGAGAGCACAACCTCTGCAGATGGGAGACGGTCAGCTTTCGAAGCATGCTTGAATTTCAGTGTCCAGTTAAATAACAAAAAGGTACAAAAATAATTATGCTCCTAGCAGTACTGCTGACCTAGTAAGAGGAAGCTCCTTTTAGGGTGTTTCTCTGTGTATGTTTGTGTTACGATGGCAGCAACCAAGTCTTTAGCCAAGTAACTACGAACTATGCGGAGCACTAAGTGCTCAGCGAGCTCCTTGCGACCATTCTATGAATAATCTTCACCAGCCCCCAAGAGCTAAAGCGGCAAATGCTTCATGCCACGCAGGCCAGGCGAGGGCTGATGTTCCCCATTTGACACCACTAGTCTGCTG